TCACTCACTCACTCACTTACTCACTCACTCACAAACTAGTAACTAACTCACTAGTACCTCCTCACTCACTTATTGCCAAGTAATGCACTTACTAACTTATTATTCACTCATTCACAAATAACTCCTTCACTCATTTACTAGCAACTCCCTGACTCACTCATTTATACCGACCGACCAACCAGATGACTGACTGACTGACTGACTGACTCACTCACTCACTCACTCACTCACTCACTCACTCACTGCAACGCGTGAATGGGTGTCATTCACTCAGATACTGGCTGTGCTGTTCTACAACACTTTTGTCTGCACACTGCACTCAGCCTCATGGTTGTTGTTGACACTGTGAGGACATGAATCTGTGCGTGTGCGTGTGTGTGTGTACGTTCGCCGCCGTCCTTGGCCCTTCACACGTACTTTCACTCCTGATTCATGAACAGTGACGACGTCCGATGCCGCTTCATCACGGTGATGGTCATGCGCTCTATTTTTGACTGGCGCTCCAAATAGATGCCGGCAGCACACTTGAGTCAAGCAGTGCAGAACAAACAAATTAGCAAAAGCAAGTCGTCTGTTTTGATCACGTTGCCTTGCAAAACGCACACAACAACAATCATCGTTTCTGACCATGAAACTTATTTTTGCTTGTCTTATTTCATTTTCTTTAAAAAAGAAATCATTCAAATATGTATACTTACTCCATTTCAATTTTAGTTTATTTTTGCAATCGAGAAAAGAGTGAGGAGCTGCTTGTGTCTTAAAAATATACATTTCGGATTTACAGGTATATCTCCCACTTAATTTTTTTTAGACATGATTTTGTCATGTTTCGGTTTGTGACCAACAGGTGGCACTGTAGGGCTCTCCCTGCAGCTGCACACCTGTTGGTCGTTATGTCGTTAGCCGTTTAAAAGGACTCCCGGGCACGACCGCTCAGTGTCGGGTCATTGTTTGTGTGTGTTGCTGTTTGTTTGTTTGTTTGTTTGCTTGCTTGCTTGCTTGTTTGTTTGCTTGCTACTGTCATGTTTGTTTCGGTCATGTTTTGTCATGTTTTTTGTTTGATACTTTGGACTTTGTTTGTTTTGGATTTAGTTTTCTTTCTGTTTTAATACATTTTGTCAAGTACACCCTGCTGCTCCGTCTTGCCTGCTTTTTTTGGGGTCCACCACCACCTCCGAAACGTGACAGATTTAAGCTTTTAAATGTTTGAAGCATTGTTACGCTGCCGGTGAAACTTACCATTTTAAATTTTAAAAAAACTTCTGCATCTTTTGCTCATTTTATTTGAATTTGAAAACTATTTATGTTATTAATAATATTTATTATTGAAATAATATTTATTATTAATAATAAACAGTGAAAACTATAAAATACATTCCTGAAAGCAGTGTTTAAAACTTTACACTTTCCTAACAATCAGTTATTAGTTTTTTTAATGTATATAAACTTTTTTTTTTTAATTAAAAGGTTGTTGCTATTTCGTTTCCCTTGTGGGTGGACGTCTTGAGCAGTATACAGTATATTGTGGATGTGCACCCACGCAGCCATAGCAACGCTTTGTTGCCTCTTGGCAACCGTGTTTATGTAATGAGGAAAGGAAGCCAAGGTGGAGGTCACAGCGTTTATATAAATCCTTTTTTAAGAAAAAGAGGAAGAAGAAGAAGTCGGGCACACACGTAACAACAGAACAGCGACTTTGAGCGTGTGTGTGTGTGTGTGTGTGTGTGTGTGTGTGTGTGTGTGTGTGTGTGTGTGTGCGCGCGCGTGCGTGCGTGCGTGCGTGTGCGTGATGCGTGCGTGCGTGCGTGCGTGTGCGTGTGTGTGTGTGTGTGTGTCCAATGGAGGCCTACTAAAAATGTGCATCAGCTATACATCTTTTTGCTCTTCCTCTACCAGGCAATCACCCCCCCTGCCCCCCCCCACCTTTCCTCACTCTCCTGGTGTCAAGAAATGGGAGACTGTCATGTAACATCATTTTGTAAAACGGAAAAGAAGACTCGCCTACCAAATTAGATACCGAGTGTGCTTGCTTCAAACTGTTTATTTGTTCGGCCCAGTTCAAGTTTTCCGCCCAACGGACCCATAAAAACAACAAAGGCGATTCACGCCATAGAATGCATTATTACATCAATTTGGAATATTATGATAGTAAGTCATATTTCAAAAGTATTCTTTTTTAGTTTGCTCATTCAGTTGTAATAGTAATATACAACGTAATTTAGTTGGGAAAATTCCCTGTGAATTTATTCTTGTAAAATAGGACTTCTGTGTGTGTGAAAGGAGCAGTTCTTACTGTAACATGCATGCTTATTTCCATTAGCCCATCTATGCTGTTTTGCGTTACATATTAGCATTAAGCTAACATACTTTTATTATTGTATGGTTCAGGTGCACATTTTGGTATTAAATATCCAATTTCAAATCTCCTTTTGTTTTATGAGTCTATCTTACAGTAAACCAAGTGCAAGTGACAAAAAAAAAAATCTACTTGAAGCAAGCAGCATATATGAGTCTTCTTTCCTTTCCTCAACGTGATGTTACATCTGATAATTTCCCATTTCTGGAACTAAGCAATGTTTCGAAATACTTTAAAATGACTTTTTGTAAGTTTCAATGTTTTAAAATGGGTAAAACTATTAAAAAAACTTTTTATGTAATTTCTCTATACCACAAATGTTCAATTATCATGGGTGGCTGTGGAATTTCTCTCCAACAGTCAAATACACACGCACACACACACACACACACACACACACACACATACACACACTCTATCAACACTAACGTCATCTCTCCTCATTGTCCACCTTTGTGACTTCTCTGATGTAAGAGACGTTACCTCAGTTTTCTTTATAAAAAAAAAGCACCGTTCTTCTTCCCTCAGTGTGTGTGTGTGTGTGTGTGTGTGTGTGTGTGTGTGTGTGTGTGTGTGTGTGCGTGCGTGTGTGTGTATGTGCGTGCGTGCGCGCGGCACCCTAACTGCTAGTAGAGAGGCACAGAACGGAATGGTCGGATTATATAAAAACACAAGTATGTGTGTGACTAATCACCACCCTCAGCGACAACAGATGGGTGTGTGTGTGTGTGTGTGTGTGTGTGTGTGTGTGTGTGTGTGTGTGTGTGTGTGTGTGTGTCAGGTTTACTTATATTCGTGGACAACCTTTTCTTCTAAAAAATAGATGTTTTTTTCCTCAAATTTTATTTCTTTCTCTCTTTTTCTTAAGATACACCTTTATTTCTTCACACTTTTTCCTGCATAAATATAGTTTTTTCTTGAAAAAGGATAAACGGTTTGGAAAATGAATGAATGAATACACCACTTTTCTATAAAGATTCTCCAGGGGTGTGCAGAGGGACGGACCAATGGAGCGATGACCCCGGGCATCCTCCTACTGAAGGGCATTCAATAAACAGCATCCCGGCCAGCTCCATTTTTCATGGTCATGTTGAAGGGCTACCAACGCAGGAAAACTTCCATCCGTTGCACCCACACAGGGTTGCAAAGTAGGATTTCATATTAGTGGTTCATATTAGGGTATTAGATGAGGGGTAGGGTTTCTAAGTACAGTTTTAAACTAGGGGTCAGTTTTCTAAGTAGGGTTTCAAAATATGGTGAGGGTTTCAAAGTGTGGTTTCAAACTCGGTGTAGGATGTCAAATTAGTGTTTTAATAGGGCGAGTATTTCTTCGTGGGGTTTCAAACTGGGGTTAGGCTTTCAAGTTAGAATTTCAAACTAGGGTTAGGGTTTCAAATTTATATTTCAAATTGAGGTTAGGGTTTCGAAGTAGGTTTCAAACTGAGGTTTGGGTTTCAAATTGGTTTTTCAAACTGGGGGTAGGGTTTCAAAGTAAGATTTTAAACTAGGCTTTGGGTTTCAAATTAGGGTTTCAACCTAGGATTAGGGTTTCAAATGTATGTTTCAAACTGGGGTTAGGGTTTTGAAGTAGGGTTCTAAACTAGGCTTAGGGATTCAAATTAGGGTTTGAAACTGAGGTTAGGGTTGAAAGTTAGGGTTTTAAACGGTGGTTTTCAAACAAGGTGGTATGTTTTCAAAGTAGGGTTTCAAATTGGGGTTTGGGTCTCAAATTAGGGTTTAAAACTGTGTTTAGGGTTTCAAAGTAGAGTTTTCAACTCGGTTGCGCTGTACAGCCATTGAAGCAAGAAGCTACCTTAGTTTTCTTGAGAATGTGCGTATTTTAGACTAGAAAGCTTTTTTATTGAACATATCAGCCAGCCCCTTATGGAGAACAGATGGTAGTTTTATGTGTGCGCGTGTGCCAGCGTGTCTGTGCGTGTGTTTGTGTGTCAGGTTTTCCTCGCCTTTCATTGGAGGACTGGATGAAATTCCTGTCTTGACGTCATCAGTTCATTCAAGGTGACTGAATTTTCGAGCATATGTTGTTTTTTGGGCAGTGATGAATGAAGGTGTGTGGATGTGTATTGGTGGGCCCGGGGCGGGGCTGCAAGGAGTGAGCATCAGTGGACTGCCAAATAGGGGTTTCCTCACACTCCCAACCCCGTTTTTAACACCTTGCAGCATCACAATGTTGGGAGTGTAAGAACATCCACAATGCTGTTTCCAAAGAACAAACTCAGCAATTTTGTTTTCTATGTTCAGGCCAAAGCTACGTCTAACATACAAAAACTGTTAACATACTAAAATACAATCTTGTGCTCAATAAACCATATTGAAGTGAGGGGAGGAGCTTCATTTTATCAGGCTATTGCCTTGTCTTGGAGAAGAAAAAAAAAAAGTTTGGTTTGCTGCCATCTTGTGGCATCTATAGGTAATCGCATTTTTGGGGGGGGTTAGGCCATCTTCATTTCAGATTTTCACTACTTGCAGCCCCCACCCGAACAATGTTCAATCAAAAAAATATTGCAGAAACGTCTGCATTTTCTCTCGAAAAAAAAGCCAAATAGTATATCTAAACATACTTTTTTTGTATACATTGGAGAAAAAAAAATCTAAATTTGAGGGAAAACAAAAACTCCTAATCTTAAAATATTAAAGTATCATGTTTTTATTGGGGTTCAAAATGTAAGACAGAAAGGAAAAAAAAAATACAAACGGGTTGTTCCAATGTCGCAAATCTGGGAGGCATCAAGAAGAGACGTTTGAAGTTTGTGCTTTGCGGATCACTATGAGAACAGGAAAAGACACAAATGGGATGAACACGCATGCGCACAAACGCGCACTCGTCCCCGCTCATTTGTTACCAGCTTTCAGCAGACGACTTTGAGCCCAAAGTCCGGCAATGCGTGTCAACGGAAAACCATTTTGAGCATCGAGTCCCTATCCTTGATATCCTCTTAAGGTGTACGCACTTTGTCCTCACTAGTAGGACAATCCAGCACACTCGTAAGGAAACTTTAGCAAACTAGTAGGACAACCACATACTAGTGAGGCAAAACTTTGCACTACTTGATGCCTCCGTGCTACTACTATTACTAGTGACTTTATAAAATTATACTGTACTAGTTAACATGGAATGCTTCATTTAGTAGTAGTGCCAGCAGGATATAAAGGAACACGTGGCGGTCCTACGAGGGAGGACAAAGTGCAAACTAGTCTATGGTCCTTTCAGCCATTTGAGGATTTTGTCAATATCCTTGATAAGAAGGCTACTAGTGCGTGACACATGCCTGCTAATTAGGCCTAGTCGTGCTATCAGAAAGGTCAAAATGTGTACGAGCAGGATAAAGACTGGCACTCGTAGTAGAAAAGAGTTACAAGCAAGCTACAGTTAAACTACTAGTGCACCAAAGTTATTCCACAAGTGCACGGAATGGTCTTACTAGTGAGGACAAAGAACGTGCTATATATGGATCTTCTGATATGAAGGATATGGAATTCATGCTCAATTGGCTTTCCATAGAGCTTTGGAACATTTGTTGGGAGTGAGCTTGTTTTCATTCCGAACTCGGCGCACTAGTAGGACATGAAAGAAATACTGAACGGGTTTTCCGTGTGTGTGATGCGTGGAAACGACTCAAAAGGTTCCAAAAGAGCAATGTTTGCACAGTTGAAGACGACGTGAGAGTTGCACACGGCCTCCTCCTCTTTGCGTTTGTCGGTGCCTCGTCGTCCCTCCCGCCTGCTGCGGGTGTCTGTTGATTTGCGAGCATTAGAAGGTGTAGGGGCCGATGTAGATGGAGAGTCTGAGGGCGGAGCTGCTCTGGTAGTTGCCCTGGTAGCTGAGCAGCGGGTTGACCGACACCATCTCCAGGTCCAGCGTGTACTCGCGCGGGCCCGACACGGCCCGGGCCAGGACTAGCATGGCGCTGATGTTGTTGATTTGCTAAAGGGAAGGAAAAAAAAAAATCTTTAATAATTGGCTTTTGAAAAACATGCTTTAATTTTTTACACTGAGTTTTGACTTTTTTTAAACATTTTATCTAAATGCATGTACGCAATTCGATGGTAAGGAAAATCTTGTGTTGAAAATTCAGTTTTTAAAAATGGTGCTGAATTTTGGACATTGAATTTTGTGTTTTTGACAGTGAGTTTTGATTTTTTTTTTTAAACAAAATTTGAACATAACTTTTTTTTTGGTAAAAAAAAATCTTGGCAATTTAATGGTAAGGAAAATCTATTAAAAATTCAGCCTTTAAAAATGACGCTGAATTTTTAAGGCTGAATTATTGATTTTTAAACTAAATATTTGACATATTTTATTTTTAAAAAATTGTAAGAATCATTTGGTTTGATGATGAGAACAATCTGTTAAAAATTTGTTTTTAAAAAGTTATGCAGAAATTTTTACTGACATTGAGTTTTGATTTTTCTAAACTTTTTTTACACAGAATTTTTGATAGGATTTCTTTCACCATTTTTGACAATGACTTGATTTTTTTTTTTTACAGGGAATTTTTATGGAAAAATGTTTTGCATTTTGGTGTTTAGGAAATCTGTGTGGGAAATTCAGTTTTAAAAAATGACATTTTCAACACGGATTTTTTTTTCCGTGGTGAAAAAAAAATCTGTTAGAAATAAAAACTGAAAGTAATGGCACAGCTATAGAGTACTTCCATAATAAATTACTTTCTTCTGGAAACTGTTGCCATAGAACATTCCCCAACAATTTTCCAAACAATATCCAACTTTTTATTTTCTTCTTTTTTCTTCTTTGTTTTTTTTTTTAATCAATCCATTTCGAGGCACATTCCTACCCTGATGTAGAAGTCTCCGTGCGTGTCACCGGAGCGAATGCGGAAAGTGTTGTAGGCTCCCGGGGAGACGCTGGTGGCCTGAATCTGGAAGATGTCAGACGGCACCGAGCGCTCCGACGTGATGCTCATGTAGCGGTGCACGATGGAGAACGGCAGATCTCGGCACGCCGCCTTCGTCACGGGACACACGCAGCGGCTGCGCACGCACACACAGAGTGAAAATACTGCATTATCACAAAGAGCTTTCATCATGAGGACAACGTTCAGAAATGAGCCAGTGGAAGTTAGTGGAACAATTTACATAACAATTACATGACTTTCACAAAAATATGCAACTTTTTAAAAAATGTACTACTTTTTCCTAAAATTAGGTCACTTTCTAATTGTAAACTCTTCTAAAAATAAACATATTTTTCCCCTAAAAGAAACAGTTTTATTGTCAAAAGAAATTTTTTTGCCTAAATTTTTTTTTACACATAGATAGATAGAGAGAGAGAGAGAGTTTTTTCGAAAAAAAAATCGGCACTTTTTTCCGCAATGACGTATGATTGTTTTCTCCTTGAAACTATAAATGCTTTTTGTGTTAAAAAAATCTTTCAAAATAAGATTTTTTTACCTTAAAAAACAAAACACTGCAGTACTTTTCTCATAAAAAGCAGAACGACTTTTTTCCCTCTTTTTCATGACAACTTTATTCCTTTCTTCAAATTTTATTCGAAACGTTTTCACTTCAAATTCTACCACGTTTTCCCTCAGAAGTTCGACCTTCGAAAAGCTACACATGTCTTTCTGAATAATATGTATGCGTTTGTTTTCAGATAAAAAAATCACCGTTGTTCTCGTGAATTTTCTTGAAAGAGCAGTTACAAAATCGACCAGCAGAGGTCAGCAGAGCTTAGCTATCTTTTGCTTTTGTTGAGCTGAAATTAGACCTACGATGAAAAACATTCACATTGCGTGACAGTACAACAAACATAAATACACGACATAAACGAAATGCGCGCCAGCTGGATAACTCATTCAATATCTTACGTCGAGTTACAATCAATATGAAATACCCGTAATCCAAAACAACATTTCAACGTGTGGTTTGTATTTGTAGAATGACTGTCTTTCCTTAAAAACTGGAACATCACTGTAAAATAAGACGGAAAATGGTGTGCATCATTCTCTCCAACATAACTTCTTACAGTCTTCCACATATTTTGAACTGATAAACTATCCATGACACACGTGCGAATCCCACATTTGCTCTTGGTTTGAATGTGTGTATGTGGTCAGTGTTTTCCACCTGTTAGCAATCCATGAAATCAAAGTTGCATTTTGGTGTGGGGTGAAAAAGTCAATGTGGAAATTGTGCAGCTGGAAGCTGGAGCGTGTGAGTGGACGTCTTGGTTGTTGAGATTATTACAGGGAGACGAAGGCCAACATATTGCATGCGTACGTCCACGCGGCGTGTGGGAGAGCAGGCAGGCAGGCAGGCAGACACTCACTTGTCGGACACTTGCACGTACGGGTCCAGGCATCGGTTGGCGTCCACGCACTGGTATCGTCCGTGGATGTTGACACACGTCTGCGTGTCCGTGCACTGATGTGCACCCGTTTCGCATTCGTTGATATCTGCGCAGGCATGTAACGAAATATTACTTTAGTCCAAGCCAGGGGACTCGGAATTTGGTTTTTTTTTTTTTTTAAATATATATTTTTTAAAATATTTAATTTCTTTAATAAAAATATTCTTCTTTCTTCTGATTTTCTTTCATTTTTTTCTCAGAAAAAAAATGAAAATTTTTTCTCAAAAAAATTCAAAAAAAAAATGTTTTGAAAAACTACCATGAAATAAAATTATAATTAAAAAATAGAAAAAAGACTTGCAATTTTCTCAAAAATAAAAAACAAACTAAAACATAAAACATTTTCCAACTTGCTTCTCAAAACTATTCAGCTTCTTTCCAAAAATATCATGAAAAAAATTCCAGAAAAAAAACATTTCACCCTAAAAAAAGATATGTAACTCTCTTTTAAAATAATATACAACTTTTTTTAAATATTAAAAAAAAATCAAACACAACATTCAGCTTCCTAATAATTTTTTTAATGTTCTCATTTCCTACCAAAAAGTTCCTATAACAAAGATATTCAACTTTATTTTAAAACTCCCATTTTTGTTCTGTAAACATAAGGGGTTCAGATAATGGAGTGATGGTTATTGCACTTTGTCGCGTGCAAGGAAAGGCACACATGAATCCTGACTCACCCTGGCAGAGTCGCGTGCCTTGCAGCTGGTATCCCTCAGGGCACACACAGGAGAACTTTCCAGGCTGGTTGACGCAGCGGTGCTGGCACAAGTAACTGGAGTAGCTGCACTCGTCCACGTCTGTCACAGTCAACGCGCCGTCACTCAAAGCGGAGTCGCATCTCGCGTCACGCCTTCTCATGATTCGGTCGCTCACCGTTACACGCGAAGCCATCAGGCCCCAGCTCGTAGCCGTGCTCGCAACGGCACAGGAAGGTGCCGTATGTGTTGTAACAGCGCTGAGAACATGGGGCACCCATGTCGCACTCGTTCACATCTGAAAGGAAACGAAACACTCTCAGCCTCTCGTGAATAATAATAATAATAATAAAGAGCTCCGTAAAATTGTAAAAATACATATTAAAAACGTCCAAAAATGTCAGAAATGTAGAAAATAAAAGAACAGATAAAAAGTAAAATTGTAATAAAATAAATCTATAGAAAATATATTGTTTGATAAAATACTTTAAGATAATTATATTTTACAAAATAGATTTTAAAAACAGGGTTGATAAAAATGAACAAAATACTTAATATGAAAAAACATTTTTGTTAACGAAACAAAGTCAAATAGTTTTGAAAGAATGAAAAGAAACTGAAACTACATCTTAAAATTGTAAAAATAACAAAAACTAATTCCGGGTACAATTATGGAAAAAATGTCCTTTGTTTTCATCTCTTGTCGATTATGAACATATATGAGCTTTTGGGTTTCATTTTCAATTTATTTATTTCAGTAATGCGTCCATACACCAGAAGGAAGGTCGAACAGCCACTTGATAACTGTAATTTACATTATTACTCAATATTTGGGGTCCTTTTTTTTTTTTTTTAATCTTGCACTTGACAGATAGTCCATAGAAAACTAAAACTAATACTAAAACTAATAAAAACACAACATGGCCAAAACGCAAATCTTCCTATCTGACAGAGCTGTCTGTCCAGGTCCAGAAAGTAAACCCTGCCACAGTTTTTCTTTCGCCACAGGTGCTTCTAATTCTAATCTCTGCTCTTTGTGGGAGCAGGGTTAAAATTATTTTGCCTTCTGCATTATGCGAACATTCTTTCTTAACACCAAAATGAAGTGTTTATAAATAATAAAAACCTAAAAAAAACAAAACTCAAAATGAACAAACCTGCTTCGCAAACGAATTAAAACAAGCTGAATTTTAAAAACAAATGTCAAAATGAAATAAAAATGAACTAAAAGGAAAAATCCAAAAACGGCGACCGGCCGAGGGTGCGCAATCTTTCTGCTGCAACCCCATGCAGGACCATAATGAGGACATATGGACGATTGGGTTTCACTGGAAATATGTCAAAGCCAGGCTTCGCCCAATCACACAAACCTCAAAAGCATCTGTAACCTTGAAGTCCCTTCCAAAAAGCCGCTGATCCTTAAGAAAACTCTAGTGGGAGGTTGTCACTCACCGACGCAGGAGCGGTTGTTTCCCGCCAGCTGGAAGCCAGGCTCACACTGGCACGTGAAGGAGCCGGGAACGTTGACGCAGCGATGCTGGCAGTACCTGTACCTGCACTCGTCGATGTCTGGCGGAGGAGCAGAGAGCGGAACCCCCCGTTAATCATTGAGCTTCTTCAGTCTGCTACACACAAAAAAAAAAAAAGAAAAAAAAAAGGCTTGGTGCCTCACCAATGCACTCGGTGCCCACTTTGCGGTAGCCGTCAGGACAGTGGCATGTGAAGGCCCCCAGGGTGTTGACGCACTGCTGGCTGGGCTGGCAGTCATGCTCGTCGCGCTCGCACTCGTCCACGTCTGCGCTTGGAAAGGAACTATGCTGGTCAGTTATACAGTCAACCCCGCTTTGTTGCAGGGGGGATATGTACCAGACCAACCCACCGTAGGTTAAAATGCAATTTTAAAAAAACATATACATTGTTTTTACCACACCCACAAACATCAAACACATTTAAACATCTAAAAATTACACTATTTAAAGTACTGCAGTTTCGTGTGACATCACTTTAAGGAAACAAAATGAAGACCCACTTCCTTTAAATTAGAGTCACACTGCGCTTGGTTCACGTTGTTTATTTGTCACTCACTGTTATAAAAGATCTTTTTCTTTTCAAAATGTTTTGTCTTTTTTGAAATGATGAAAGGCGTCTTCCAAAATAAAAGCTATCAAATGAGGAAAGTAAAAGAGAATTTTAATTTTATCTTGAAAAAAATATGACCATAGCCTGAGTCGAAAATTTTACCCTGGCAAAAAATATCTTCTTTTCTCACTCTGTTTTGGTCACACAAGTCTGCAACTAAAATTCTTGCTTCAAGCAGTTTATTTATTGCATTCAGTTGATGTTTTTCTGCAAAACCAAAAGACTATTCAAAATTGTACAGAAGCATTAAAATGCTAAACCAAAGCCTATCATTTCATCTCCGAAAGTCGGCTAGCTTAAAGCTAACATATGATGCAAAACGCCACAGATGGGCTACCGTAAATTTGCAGAGATGTGATGGTAATTCTAAACCTTCAGACAACTGCTGCTGTATACTGTAGAAAATGGAAAACGATTGGTTAAAAATATATGGCATATAAAAAAAAAGTCATCTTTTCACTATCTTACCTACAGCTTGTACTACTAGCGACATTATAAAATTAAACTGGTTTAGCTCTAGTGCATCAGTCGTAGTATTAGTAGCACACAGATGTCAAACAGTGCAGCGTTTTGCCTCGCTCAGAAATTCCACTCGTGGTGGAAACAAACATTATCAGGAAGACACAATCATTTTATTAGGTTGCTAAATTGCCCAATAAGTCGGGACAAAGAGTACGAGTTCATGGATCTTCAGCTGGCAATCCAAGACAACATGGAAAAAATGCTCAACCGGCTTTTGATAACAGGGACAGCAACAAATTTCCAATATAATTTGGAGGTTAGGGGAAAAAAAAAAAAAAAGGAAGTAGTTTGAGTTCACATGTTCATCGGCTTTTTTATGCCTGCAAGACAACAGCTGTCGTCGTGTGAAAGCTACCAAATTCCTACACACTCTATCAACTCCCCTCCACACACAGTCACCACCCCACGCAGAGACAATCACACTCATTGACACCCACCCAAACCCCAACAACACCTGCTCCGGCCACTTGCCGCTTGGTTCACGTTGTTTATTTGTCACTCACTGTTATAAAAGATCTTTTTCTTTTCAAAATGTTTTGTCTTTTTTGAAATGATGAAAGGCGTCTTCCAAAATAAAAGCTATCAAATGAGGAAAGTAAAAGAGAATTTTAATTTTATCTTGAAAAAAATATGACCATAGCCTGAGTCGAAAATTTTACCCTGGCAAAAAATATCTTCTTTTCTCACTCTGTTTTGGTCACACAAGTCTGCAACTAAAATTCTTGCTTCAAGCAGTTTATTTATTGCATTCAGTTGATGTTTTTCTGCAAAACCAAAAGACTATTCAAAATTGTACAGAAGCATTAAAATGCTAAACCAAAGCCTATCATTTCATCTCCGAAAGTCGGCTAGCTTAAAGCTAACATATGATGCAAAACGCCACAGATGGGCTACCGTAAATTTGCAGAGATGTGATGGTAATTCTAAACCTTCAGACAACTGCTGCTGTATACTGTAGAAAATGAAAAACGATTGGTTAAAAATATGTGGCATATAAAAAAAAAAGTCATCTTTTCACTATCTTACCTACAGCTTGTACTACTAGCGACATTATAAAATTAAACTGGTTTAGCTCTAGTGCATCAGTCGTAGTATTAGTAGCACACAGATGTCAAACAGTGCAGCGTTTTGCCTCGCTCAGAAATTCCACTCGTGGTGGAAACAAACATTATCAGGAAGACACAATCATTTTATTAGGTTGCTAAATTGCCCAATAAGTCGGGACAAAGAGTACGAGTTCATGGATCTTCAGCTGGCAATCCAAGACAACATGGAAAAAATGCTCAACCGGCTTTTGATAACAGGGACAGCAACAAATTTCCAATATAATTTGGAGGTTAGGGGAAAAAAAAAAAAAAGGAAGTAGTTTGAGTTCACATGTTCATCGGCTTTTTTATGCCTGCAAGACAACAGCTGTCGTCGTGTGAAAGCTACCAAATTCCTACACACTCTATCAACTCCCCTCCACACACAGTCACCACCCCACGCAGAGACAATCACACTCATTGACACCCACCCAAACCCCAACAACACCTGCTCCGGCCACTTGCGCCCCACCCCTAAGACAACAGCCCAATTTCCACGACATCCACAATGCGGACCACCTGTCCACGGCCACACTCACCCACGCAGCTGTCTCCTTGAGGCTCGTAGCCCAGGGGGCAGGGGTTGAAGGCCTCGGTGGGCGCGATGGGGGGTTCGGGGGCCGGGATGACCGAGGCCGAGCGGGGAAGGCACAGGTAGCCTCCGTAGTGGTTGAAGCATTTCATCTCCCCCTTGCACGCGTCCGGGATGGTCTCGCACTCGTTGATGTCTGACGCCGCACATATGCAAACGTGACACACGCACAAGGATGGCCAATGAGTGCATGGTGAATAGTTTTGCATTTTTTTATTCTACGGTCATACTCATAGTGTATTGGATTCAGGATTTTTTGTTTAGTTTTAGTATTAGTTTTATTTTTTTAGATCGATAGACCGACCAACTGACTGACCGATAGATCGGCATTAGAGCATAACTTAAAATACAAATTGTACCTAAATAAATAAACAAACCCATCTACAAGATTATAAAACAGGCAAAAAAAAAAAAAAATTGCGATGAACGCACCATATAAATGTGTTGTAAAATTCAACAAGGCCTGAGGGTTACTCATAACAATCGTAATTGTAATTTCCTGCTTTTACCTTTGCAGTGCTCTGTCTGAGGGTCCCAATGATAGCCATCTGTGCATTCCTAGAAAGAGCACAACACGGATAAATTCACAAATCAAAATCAAGTGTCAATATGCAGTACATCAAAATGATAAAAACATCACCCAACAGTAGTCCATGGACCAATGAACAGGTGTTTATGATAATATTGTATCGTAAATATGGAGAAGTGAATCCATTTTAACATATGCACATCATACATAACCGTGCACAAATTCATACATACAATTTGTTTACTGTAAGTAGTTGAAAGTTAAACATGGGACTTGTGACATTTTAATGAACCAAATCACCTTGATATTTACTTGTCAGATGTATAATTATTCTAGGACTACTATTATTATTATTATTATGGGCATAAGGCACCTGTTGACTTTGACGGAAAGTAAAACTAGGCCAAAAGAAATAGGAGCAAAATATCCCCACAAGCTGCCAGCAGCAGAAAGGAATCTTTGTGAAAAAGTGTGTGCGTGTGTGTGGTGTGAATGTACATATGTGTATATAGATATCACAGCAAATGATGGAAAATAAAAACAAGAGGACAGGTGTGACAAGCCGAGCTTCAATATAGAGCGGTAAGTGACGCATCCGTACCGTTTGGGTGTCAATTTCTTTGGGCGGCTGTGAAATAACGTTGTGGAGGAGCACGCACACGCACACGAATGACACACACACCCCCTGCATACTAACCACGTGACACTAGAACACACATAAACACACACGCGCGCACGCACACGCACACAGCGATGAGGCAGGGGCGGGGCAGTTGACTTTGGATGGCGCAGCGCAGTCACTCAGCATCTGTGGAGAAGAGGAAATTACAACATGACAAGGTGTCACAAATCCAACAAAATGGCGCCATTCAACGGAGGCCCAATGGAAGGAACGCAGTGTCAGTAGCAGTCGGAGCAAGAAGAAGAGGCAGAGAAGGTCCCCTAATCATACGTAAAGCTCCGGTGATAAGTTAAGAGACAACGTGTGGCTTTGAATATCATTGCATGATGTGTGTGTTCATCGATACATCAATGCTAATTTTCATGAGCTTGTCTATGGTGTTTGGCATTATGTGTTAGCATTCAACAAGCAAACTTTGTTGTCGATCATTTGGCATTTATGGGTACACGTGGTAGTTATGTTTCATTGGTATTCGGATGATGAGGAGGTCCTTGGAAAAATTTCGCCATGGACTTGAAAAGTTTGCAAACCCTTGCAGTGAGCACCCCACCCCCCCCAAAAAAAGAGTCAACTTGGACTGGCTGGCCTGTTTGTCGGCCAAACACTGTGGCCTTGATTGCTACATGACGAGAGTTGACTTTCAGCAGGTAGAAGAACATGAACATTGTGACGTCCTGCAGCTGCACATTAACATTACACAATTTTTTTTTTTTTTTTTTTTTTTTTCTGTTGGTGCTGCGCAGAAAGCCCTCTGTGTCTTTAGCCTGGCACACTGTAACGGCTTGCAAGAATACCCTGGCTGCTTTACAGTCGGTCACAGAGAAACTCTATGGTGCTAAAATGTTCCAGTAGAGCGGACCCAAGCTATACGCTGGGGATAGGGACCCAACCAACAACCTTGAATCTCTGCAAGTAATTACCACCCCGTCTAAAAGCGAGAACTGCCTATAATGTGACAATGATAAGTCTCAAATAGAAGGGAGAAGCACCAACTTTGAAGTAAAGAAAAGATTTACTTCAGAATAGGCAAAAGCGTAAAATCACCAAGTATTTGTGTCAGGGTATCGGGGTCTCATGAAGGAAGGATGTCAATACCAACCAACGATACTTAAGGCAAATCTGACACCAAGTAAGTCCTCCTTGCCAGTAGTTGACACATGGGAGAGTCATCATGTGTGTCGGAAAGACAACAAGGTCTTTGTTCTCACCCATCTGTCTGTTAATTGAACTTTCATGCATCTTTAGTCCGATTGGCGTCGGTACTCGCTTTCGTGTATCACTGAGTACAAAAGACATAAAAATTAGTCATGGTTTATCACCCCCCCCCCCTTCCTCTTCACGATATTATTCACATTTGAACATCTGATCACAGCAGAACCAGAAGTGCAGATAGGGAGATTGTATTGTTCCCTCCGCTTTTTCTGTTTGAGCTGCGCCTGTGTGGAACCTCACCCCAATCGCCACCAGAAATCAAAACACAAACACATTTAAGCCCCAACTAAAGAAATGGCTGGACTGTCAACAACACAAACCACAAGAATTCCTCGAGCTGTCCCTGTTAGTGTCTTGCTTGGTGAATGTTTTCATACTTTTGTGCAGGCCTAATTGCTGGTTTATTGTGACTCTAATGTCCATTTTAGCCTGACAGTACTTTTAAGTGAATGTATTGTTATTGTTATGTAAATATGATTTTTAGTTTACTTGTATTTTTTTTTAGTACATATATTGTTGACATAGGACGGCATAGGAAAAGTAGCTTTCTGGCTAACAATGGCATATTTACTTAAATCTTTAAATATTGATATTTACTGTAACTAACAAAAGTGGAAAAAAATGGTATTGAACATCCATAGAACATGCTTCATAAAGATTTCCAACTGCCATGAGGCATGCTGGGATGCCATTATATATAATAGTTTAGACCAGTGGTTCTCAACTTGGGATCGATCAAACCCCAGGGGTTCGGTGAATCGGTCTCATGGGTTCGACGGAGCCCCTGCCATGGAAGTTTAAGACACACCCGACTCAAAGTGTTTATTAGTTATCACACACCCGCTGAAGATGATCACGTTACATCGCTTGTCCAATCAGTGTTGCGGGAAATTTAGTTCGCTCAGTCGTCAACGTGTGACTGTCGTGATAGTACGTCGTGTCTTTTTTTTTTTTTTTTTTTTTTTTTTTCAATTTTTATATACGTTTTTGCGTCGAGCAAAAAAAAAAGAAAGTGGTCGGACGAATATGAAAACGTGGATTTACATGCAAGTTGAACAACTCAAAATTATTTTGCCACTAAAATGAAAAAAATATATATATTTTTTAACCACATCAAAAAATCGACCTTGAGTAAGTGAAGTTTCCTGCATCTAATGTTTTGGAAAAATGGCAAAATTTGCCATAACGATCTCATAGTCTAACTATTCTTTTTCCATTCAGGGTGGCTCTACAACATTGTATTGAAATTATGAAATGTTTTTTGTGCTTTGCCACTGACGAGCGACCAGGTGGGGCAGGCTAACCTGAACAGTGAAAGCAGTCTTTTCCATTGTCATCTTCTCTTTGCTGATTGGCTGTCAGAAATCACCCGATTGCGCAAGCTTATACTTAAGGCATATTTAACCGTGGACATACAGCGAGTTGCTAAATATGGCTCCTTGCCCTGCTAAAGGGCCACCGCGAGTGCATGCCAAGCAGCTGCAGTTCCAACGCATGACAAGGAGTTATAATCAGCGGCAGCTTGCTCACAAGACAAAGTGCAGACCACAAGACTTGACATGGTGCTCCCCCCTCCCCAAAGACAAGATTGTGACATCATGGGCTATTTGTGTCTTGAGACGCATAACATACCAAGACACCCACAGTACGTGACCTGACTGGACCGCACTACTGGTGGGAAGTCACCAAGTACAAACACTTGACTTCCTGTCCTTGAGTCGACTTTTCGGCTAACTGTCCTTTACTTGAGTGTTTCAACTAAATTCTGTACTATCTACTAACTAGCCAACTAAAGATAAAACAGAGAATTTTGTGCGTTGTGTATTCAAATAATCACATAGCATTGCCTAAGGGAAACCTACTTAGCTTAATGCTAACAAACAAAGCAAAACGCCATTGAAACGCTAATGGTTAGCATTGATAGTTTTGGTTTTGGAAGCACGGGATGTTTGAAAACAAACGGCGCAACAACATGTCCACGGAGCTTAGAACAATACATAAAGGCATATATTCTTTATCCTCGCTGAAAAACGCATTGTATTAGTTCGGTTTGGTTGTCTCCATGTATATCCATATGCCTGACTGATACTGCCCCCAGGTGGCCAAGGCTTGCACTCTGCAAGCAGTACAATGAATATATGATGAAGCAGTAACTGTTTAATTTTTCATTTAATTGTGTTACTAGTACATAGTTTTACCAAATACAATACTATAGAGTGCTATTTTCACGATTGAAAAATATATAACAAACATTTTGGCCTTAAGTATATTTCAGACTGTGTACAGTTTGTCTGTGACTTGAGTAAATGAGTTGTTTCTGTACTTTTCTATTTTTATCTCTATTTTTCTACACAGGTATTTGTACTTCTCGTTAAGTACAGCATGTGAGTACTTCAACCAGAAATGTGATACAAAACTACCAAAAACAAAGTGACCAATTCGTCTGGGGTGAGGTGACTGACTGTGGCCAGCGGCGGACGTGTGGAATGCCCGCGGTAAGGATGTGGCCGATGATTCTCAGCTGGGATGCCCTGGCATGGATGTGGTTCCCAGAGTATCGCTTTTCTGGGAAACCCCCCTCCGGAGCCCAATAAGGCAAGGGTGGGAAAAGTATGGCCTGCCGGCAACAACTGACCCACTCTGTTGAGAGCATTTACATTAGGAAGAGTCATCGGTCAATATTTATTGGATTAATTTAGCCGTGCTGTCACAAATTCACTTCAATTCCTGTTTGCTTCTTTTGCAAACCTATTTGCTGTTATTTGCTAAATAAAAAACAAACAAAAAATGGCTAATTAATGCTTTTTCTATAGCGCTCTATGGCACCACAAGATGATGTTAAAGCCTTGTACAGTAATTGGTGTCAAGGAAGTAAGTTGAAGTAATACATTTCGCCTGACTGACATGTGTTTGAATTCACATCCCAGCGGAACTTGGAAACGATCCAATAAGGATTGGGGCTCTGACCTCTGCGGGTCCATTTATACATTTTCGGTCAGCCCAATTTAACAGGCAAAATGTCAGCTCGCTTACACAAGTGACCACCTGCGGACTTGGAAAAACACACAGGGGGACCACACGCGGATGCACACACGAGAGGACCTGGGGGTTGTTCTGCTTGGCCGGGCATGGAGAAGCCGGAGCACGCCCTGGTACCGCTGGGAGCGCTCCACCTGCAAAATCCAACAGTGATGGATGGCGGAGGGCCTCGTGAGAAATTCTCTTCTCAAACCCAGCGCCCTGCTGTGATGCTCCGCCGGCATGAGCTGCCAAGTGGGTCAAAGGCCCGATTTGTCATCCATGTTGACAATCAGGACCAAGACAACGGTTTGTTGCCTTCCTGATGCTTTTCCCACCTAGGGCCACAAAGTGAACTCCGGCTATTGGCGAAGAAGAGAAGGCCCCCAACTAACCTCCCGGTATAAGTCATCATTCTCACTAAGCAGAGAAGAAATGCCTGTGAGTATTTTTGTGCATGGTCTTTTTGGATATTTGTATTCCCTGCATCAAACGGGGGTGCACTGTACATAATTGTACGACAGTCTCAAATTCCACTTCAGGGAACATAAGAAAATATAGTCTGCAAACACATTAATGCACAAATTGTGCCGTACAGGGAAGTAAATAGTAGATAGTAAATGTCTTTGACACAATAGAAAACATGTAAATTCCACACAGAAAGAACAGAGCCCAGATTCGAACCCTGAACCGCAGAACTGCGAGGCAGATATGCAATACACGAATACACCATGCCACTGCCGTGTAATATTTGAGGCATTAATGTAGCTTTAAAAAAAAGCGGACTAAAATGTTTGGATATGTTTTTCTTATTAAAAAAATGTTTGATTTATTTAAATAACCCATTTCACATATAAAGTATGGTTACCATTTATATGATTTAATAATTTAACTCTAGGTAAATCATTACAAATAACGACAAGTAAAAACTACAATGGTTTATTTTATTGTTACAATTGTTACTGTTTTACATATTTGAATCGTGTATTAACTGTGGCTAAATTGAATTTGTAATTAGATGTCATGGTAAATTGAAGTAAATATTGCGGGACAAAGCTCCCCCTATTGTTCAATTAATACTAAAAAGAATTGTTGTTTAAAAAAAAAAAAAGCTTGTAATGTCTGATAGAATTGAAGGAAAACTGCAATTTTTGTATATTCTGCCAAAACGATAAGAACAAACCCATTTATCAAGACACATGAACTATCGGCACACTTTATTGACTTTTGTGGGCCATATCAGTGATGACGTGTGCCGGATTTGGCTTCTCTGAGTTTGACACCTGTGATTTCCACTCGTGACTCGGACTTACATATTTGACCTGACTCACCCTGCAGTCGCCTCTTTGCTGTGTGACACGGAAATGGTGAGGACGCTGTACAATCACACTGCATGTCTACCCTCCCATTACAGCCGCTGAAACGTGCCGAGCCAAGGAGCCGACGACTGTGATTATGGGGCCGCATTGACTATCCTGCCGCTCCAAAAGTAGAGCGCTGGTGCACTCATGTGACATGTTAACAAAGAGAGGAGGTTCTTCTCATCTCTCTCCCAATTACAGCGAGGTCATCAACCACCATAGCTGTGTCAATGCAAATGCTGAAATGTCCCATGGGTGGGGGATTTTTTTGTCTGCAGCTGGAATCTGGAGCCCACCGGCACCCTCATCCCTGGTCAATCGAAACTTCAATCTTGCTCCTCTCTCATCTACTAACAGCTTCACACGTGTGCAGCAGGAGAGAATCAAACTCCTCTATGCCAAAGTGGCAATGTGCAGGGAGCTATGGTTTATTTTGATGAAAGGACTTAGTATGGTTATTTATGATTGTGTTATTATTGTACTTCATTCATGTTTTGTGCACAGCGCTTATCATACAGCTTTGGCTGTTGAGAAAGTGCGATTGAAAATAAAGTTTATCATTTCCATACTCAACTCTTTCAATATATCAATGACGTATTGTTTACATCCAATTGTCCCTTTTGACACTATCGTGGCCCCTTTGACCCGCTGAAACGCATGAAAACACAAAAATTAAATTCTCTGTTACTTATGCGATTGAAATATACAATTTGGGGTCAAACGAGTTCAAATGAGTTTCTTAAAAAGTGGACACTGCCTCTGCTGGCTGTAGAAAGACCAGTATTATGTATGTATGTAATACTGGAAATAGTATTATTTCGGAGGATGTTTTACGATCTGCGAGACAAGAACTGATGTTTGTAAAAACTTGATGTCGTAAAATATTTGATGAATCATAAGACTGAAGTAAACGAATGAATCGGGGGGATTACATACCGTGTCCGTATGTTACCAAAACGAATCACAAAGCAGCTGAGCGGTTTGAACCATTCAACGAGGCCTGAGGGTTATTACGCGGTGATGTCAACTATTTCATAAAAGTCAAGCCAACTCACCAGCGAGTCTTGTTTGAGATGTGCGCGTCTCCTCGGTCGGCCTGACCCTGGTGTGTCTGACTGTGGCGAAGTGGTCCCTAAAGCTCCAAGAGGTGCTCCCTGAGAGACTGATTGGGAGACAGCTGGAGCAGCTGAACACATGCAGAAAGGAGAAGGGAGGGCGAGCCAGCCAGCCAGTGAGAGAGAGAGAGAGAGAGAGAGAGAGAGAGAGAGAGAGAGAGAGAGAGAGGGAGAGAGAGAAAGAAAATGGACCGCCCATTGGTCTTAGACCTCCCTCCTCCCACCCCCCGGCCCCCTGCGCAGTGCCCCTGCAAAGCCCTACTCACCACCCCTCTCAAGTCTAGGGATGCGAATTCCTGGTCTGCAGCCCAAATACCCGAAAATCCGTCCAAATGGCGAGCGAACAACAACTTCACAGATGCACACACACTCGACCCCCCCTAAACCGCCATCCATCCCGCTCCAACAACACACCTGGTTTCGTTTAGACTCAATCCCCCGCAAAAGCCCCAAGCAAGCTCTCCCACCCTTCTGCCATTTTACCCCCCATACACCTATATTTACCTCCCCAGGCCTTCTTTTTCCATGAAGCCACTAAAAGAAAAAAGCTCTTCCAATCTGACGTGCAGGATATTTATAGCCAGGGAGCAAGAGAGAAATAAATGGAATGTTGACAAAAATTAGAGAGTGGAAGAGCGAGCGAGCGAGCGAAAGTGGAAAAAGTGTCTGCTTACTGGGCAAGAATGAAGCCTTTCTGCCTTGAAATGCTTTCAAACAAAAACTACTATCATTATCACTCTCCAAGTGTACCGCTCAATGTTTTTACATGACTAATCCGTTACGCTGCTTGCAATCATTTCCGGCCGGCCCGAGCTTCATTCCCGCAAGAAGCATGCATCGTCTCGATGTGTTGCAAAGCGCTCTGGATGTTGCTTAACCCGCATTAAGAGTGGTTGACGTGTGATTCAAGACGGACGCCGCCGGAGGCTTCATTCCAGCGCGTTATGAAATATTCTCCGACAAAAGGTTATCTTGGCTTTTTAACCCTCAGGCCTTGCCAAACCCCTTTCAGCGGGTTTGGCGCCAATAATCACCACCCACTTTTTAATATTTGGTTTTGCTTCCTGTAATCCAGAAAGTTGCCTCCCAACATCAATTCTTGAATTAGTATAAAACAGTGGTAAAGCATTTAACACCAAGCGCCACCTACAAAAAATATACTGTACTTAGCTCTCCAAGTACTATATAGAAAACATAAAAAGGAAACAAAATGGACTTAAATGATTCAATATACAAATAGTCAGTTACAGAACAATGTTCCCCAACGTACAATTGCAAAGAATTTAGGGAATTCATCATCTATGATCCATAATATTATCAAAAGGTTCAGCGAATCTGGAGACACCACTCCATGTAAACAGCAAGGCCGAAAAACCAACACTGAATGCCCGTGATCTCGATCCCTGAGATGGCCCCGCATCAAAAGCCGACAAATGTGTAAAGGATATCACCACATGGGCTGCAGAACACTTCAGAAAACCAATGTCAGTAAATACATTTCGGTGCAACTTAAAACTCTACGATGCAAAGCAAAAGCCATTTATCATCATCAACAACAACCAGGAAATACCGCCGGCTTCTCTGGGCCTGAGCTCATCTAAGATGGATTGATGCAAAGTGGAAAAGTGTTCTGTGGTCTGACGAGTCCACATTTCAAATTGTTTTTGGCCATTGTGGACATTGTGTACTCCGGGCCAAAGAGGAAAAGAACCATCTGGACTGTCATGGATACGAAGTTCAAAAGCCAGCATCTATACATGGTGTTGATGCTTTATGATCCTCTCCATTTTAAGTGCTTTGTCGCCATCTTGTGAAATCTCTAGGGTTAACTGTGTTCTCCGTATTGCTCAAAGTCAACGTGTTTAGAGCGGGCTTCCACTTCTTAAATTGAAACATTATTCCTGTCAATGGTCAGCAGAGCCCATCTCCACTTTCTAAAATCAAAACCATGTATTTAATGGAGTGCAGTATACCGTTAAATGCCTCTTTTTCCGCTAACTAAGAATATTACATGAAGTTGCTCATTTGTCTGGAAATTAATTGAAGTAATCTCAAGACGACACAAAAAAAGTCTTGAGATTAGCAAGAAATCCAATTTACCCAAACTGTATCCGGTAAATAGCAAAAAATTAAAAGAATTAAAACGTGCAATTTTCATTGGGTTTCCCCTGCCGAAAATTGGCAGGGAGGTAAACAACAAATTATTGATATATTTAAAGAGTTGAAGTTTGAAATGAGAAAAAAACAAGACCAAAATCCAAATCCTGAGAAAGTTTCACTCCATTTGCATTAACACAGTTAAAATAGTTCACAAAAAAAAAAAAAAGAGAAAGAAAAACACATGAGGTGGTCACAAATGGCCAGCGACGAGCCCTCCCAGTTTTAGTGGACGTCATATTAGCGGCAGCATTGTTTGTGTTACCGAAATGACAACGCCTGCTTGCTCAAAGTGTGTCTTTCCAATGCGTGTGTTTGTGGGTGGTGGCAGCTGTCATTACAGGAGGATCTTGTTAAAAATCACACTGCCACCCCCCCAACTGTGCGACCGACCCCCGTGCTTTCCCCCTTGTTTCCTTGACCACACACATGCACAAAAACATCCCACACATTCTCCGAATTAAATTCAAACGCAGCAGAATGTCTTCATCTGCTGTCACTTTTCATTTTCATGCGCGCTTTATCTTATTTTCTGGGATTCATCTGTATCCAAGGCCCCTAAATTTTGCTGCATGGGACTAATTTAGTGATATTGCAATTTTAGAAGGCAAAAGGGAGATAAAACAGTACGGGGCTCGCAGCAACAACACAAAACACGATGACATCTTGATGTGAATGCGTTCTTTTACTTACAAAGCGACTAGCGAAACAGTGACAGGAGTCGTTTGGAGGCTTGAAGTCTTGCAAACGGGCTTGGGGGGGGGGAAAGAATTAAGGGGAAGGAAAAAGCGAGGGGGTGGAAAGCCGTTTTGAGCATTTCTTATATGTGGTCCGTGTCCTTGATATCCAGCTGATGGCCCATGTACTAGTATGCTCTTTCGCCTTACTAGTCGGACAACTTTGGCACACGAATGCTTTCCATAAAGTGGTTCGAGCATTTATTCAATGTCCCTGATAAGGAAGCTATTATAACGTGTGAAACATGCCTACCGGTTGGGCCTAGTTGTGGTACTCGTGTAGCACTGTAGTTTACTAGTAAGGCTTAAATGTTGACCAAATGTGACATTAGCAGTGGAAACAAATAACCCTCAAGAGTACGAGTAAGACGGTAGTTCTACACGGTGGTAAATTTCTTACGAGTGAGGACAAACAGCATTCTCGTGATTGGACCCTTACCTTGGATATCATTGTTGAATAAAATGCTAAAAAGGCTTTCGAGTCTTTAAAAGTGAATTCACAGGTTTGTTTCGAACATGTGTGAAGATAACTGCTGAAAATGTGCAAAGCCTGGCAACGACAGTATTTGGCACTCAGTGGTGGAGATTTTACACAATTTTGCAGCCTTATTTGATTTACTCTGTCATTTTTATTTTATTTTTTCAGATTTGCCAGGGTTACGAACAACAGCTCTCTGCGAACTGTCAATGTGTTGTCACTTTCAAGGGTCATACTTGGAACTCCGGTGATGAATTGTTTCAAGTGAGTATAAAATAAGCGTTCTAGTACATGGACCTTATCGTGGATATCAAGGATATCGAATGAAACAGCTTTCCATACGAGGGGGGGGGGTTAAGATAACAGCTTTGGCCAGGAGTGGAGAAACAATGGAATGGTCGAGAAAAAAAAGCAGGTCAGTCGTGATACATTTTGAAGATGCAGCTTTTGATGACGCCCATGTATCTGTCCCACACAACTTGATGTCTGTGTGAGAGAGTGAGAGAGAGAGAGAGACACACACAGGAATCAATCTAATTGCAAATCTCAAGAAAAAGTCAGATTCTAGTAAGGCTATTTTTGTCTACTCAGCAACGCAACGGTATTTATGAATCTCTCTTTGTTGAGTGCACAGAGCTGCGGGCCTGAGCCGGATTCCATTTCGGTATGTTTACATGAAAAACAAGGTTCAGCGCAGCCTCTAAAGTTGAATGAGGTCATACGATTCAGAATTCAACCAAAGTCTTTGGGGAAAAATACAGTTGTGCCCTTAGGAGAGTAATTTGTTCCGTGACCAATTGAAATTAAATGCCATTCATTTGTTCAAGCCCCCCCACATCTCCCCCAGTAAACACCACAACTTTACTCACTACGTGTTTTTATGTAGACTATGTAAGACTGTGTCTCCCACCCCCAAAAAAAAAGGATTGTGTGAGCAAGTCTTTTCTTCAAAGTGATGTTACACAATAGTCGATCATTTCTTGCCAAAGAGAGTGAGACCGGGAATGAAGGACTACTTTAAAATGTGTCTTTGAATAAGTTCAAGTGTGTTGGATTAATTTTAAAAGTGTTTAAAGCATGTGGGTTAAACAATTTAAAATATCGGTATACTTAAAAATATTGATAAGGAAGGTCTCTATGTCACAATTTTAACTATGTGGAGTGGTTTACATCATACAACTTGCAATAGGCGGGGATACAGGGAACTATGTCCATAATTTCTTGCAGTTTTAGCGAAATGTGAGCAACTTGTAGGTGGCCCAGTGTTCCAGAATGGCCAACTTTTAAGCTTCCACTGTAACCAGTTTAAGGAATGTGAGATGAGACAGGTTAACGCACAACTTGATGCCTAAGCGCCAAATGGCAGAGCCCAAGTGTTTATCTGACTTTGTTGTGTTGACCAAATTAGCCCCGTTTTAACGGTGGGCCGCTTGGGCGGAGATCAAGGCAAGCCTGGTGGGCCAACTGACACCGTTGGGACAGCTGATATCGAAAGATTTTCAAGTGATCCTGTTTTAAGAATTTGAATGACATACAAGCAAGTCCCAATTTCAAGGTGGGCATCTTCATCATGTTTTGCCAGCGGTGATATACTGTATGGTTTCGCTCAAAAAAAAAAAAAAAAAAGAAAAAAAAAGCATGAACTGTGCGTGATGCTGCTCTGTTTGTGTTAATGTAGCAGTTGGTTGAAGGTTTAAAATTGCTGCAACACTGAGGCTAATTTCAATTCACCTATCTATGGCATAACACATTATATGTTAGAATGAAAATAACTCTCTTTTGTTTTACTGTCTGTGTCAGTTTTACAGTGATCTGGATCGATGGCGGTAAATAGCAATAAGCAAGCCCACTTTGCCACTAATTTGGGGAACTGTGCAAGCAAGTAAGAACTACAGTTGAGCTCGCACATACCTGCACCCGCGTGCATTTCGCCTGCTATTTGTGGGGGTCCACTGTACTTTACTAATTTAATAACAAATGGGTCATACCAGAATTGCAGGACATTTTGGCTTCAAAATTCTTGAAAAAAAAAACAATTCAGTTTTCTGATTTTCTGCTACAAGTTAATCCATAATAGGTAATAAACTATTAGAGGTTTGATTAACTCAGATCAATGGTACAATTTTTTTTTTAAATAAATTATTTGGTTTTTACAATACCTGCCGCTGTAATCACTGTTAGAGGGTTTACTGCTCACAGGGTTGCAAATCTGGAAAAATGGTAGTTTCCTCTCAGGAGTACAAGCTGGCTTTTTAGCTAGCTGTTACTGCTGACCAAAAGTCATATTCTGACAGTAACAGGGTTACTTGAGGTAGCGTGAGAAAATTGTATTTTACGGGGTACTCCAGACTTATTCTGTATTTTCAATTTTTTTTCAAGCATTCTTTTCTCTTGGGTTTTTGTTAGATTTGGTCTCGGGATAAGAAAATGCACTCAGAAACTGCATGTTTTAGTATTTTGGATGTGGATTATTTAAATTGGGCGACCCGGTGGGCCCGTGGTGAGCGCGTCGACCTCACAGTGCAGAGGTAACGGGTTCAATTCCAGCTCCGGCCTGGTGTGGAGTTTGCATGTTCTCCCCGGGCCTGCACGGGTTTTCTCCAGGTAGTCCAGTTTCCTCCCACATTCCAAAAACATGCATGGCAGGCTTATTGAACACTCTAAATTGTCCCGAGGTGTGAGTGTGAGCGTGGATAGTTGTTTGTCTGTGTGTGCCCTGCGATTGGCTGGTAACCGGTTCAGGGTGTCCCTCGACTACTGCCCGAAGACGGCTGGGATAGGCCCCAGCACCCCCCACGACTCTTGTGAGGATAATCAGATCGGAAAATAGATGGATGGATTATTTAAATTTTGATGGGTGGGAAGTAAAATGCCCTCCAATTCTGACCCAAAGACAATCTTTGAAATTGTGGTTGTGATAAGTTTAAATGTGTTGAAAGCGTGTGGAAGAGTACTCTTTAAAACGTTTTTTAGTTCATTCTCATTCTAGAATGGTGGGTCGGAAACGTATCCCATTATACTCACTTAAAGGTGTCGAGTATGTGCGCTGAATTGCTGTAGTGAGTCAGGTAGAGCCTCGTGTCTGCCGCCGTCCATCGGTCCGAGCGACATGGCTCAATAAACTGAGGGAAGAAGGGAGGTGGTGTTACATCAGGCGGATTCCGTCCCGCTTTTGTCTGCTCTAGGAAAAAACTACACACCTTCTCCACGAGGTCGATGAAGAAATCACGGACGTCTTTGGTGTTTGTTAACTTGGCTGCGATGTTCACAAGGCCCCTGGAAAGATTCTGCCATGAGGAAAAATTATTCATTTGAACAGCGGAAACACCACGGGTTCCCCGAAGCGAACTATCCAGAATCGGCGCAAAATCATGGAGAGAAGTAAAATCAAGTCGTTCAACAATACAACAACAAAAAAACCTAATCAATGTTGACAACTATACGGTCGGAAAATGGACTACACTGTTTATTTGTCCATCCTTGTTGACGTTTGACATATAAAACGGCAACATTTTTCACCCAAACCATATCATTTCATCTAACAAAGGTGTCTTAGCATGATGCCATGTAATACATCATTAGCAAGCAAACGCCATGGCCACAAGACAGCAGCAACGCTTTGTATGAAGCTCCTCAACTCACTTCAACATAGTTCCTTGGCACAGAGATGCCACAAGATGAGGCCAAAGAAACACTTCATATTTCAACATATAATGGAGGATATTAAAAAAATAAATGTGTTAATAGGAGAGCCCATTCACAAGTGGCGAACCATGAACACATGCGGGAATACTGCACACTGGAATGCCTGGAGGAAACTTTTGTATGACCACACTCGTAATTTTTCACCTTGAAATTGGCCTCCATCTCAGGAAAGGCTTTCGTTTTCCCCCTGAGGGCTGTGCAGACAAGACTGGAGACAAAACAGAGAACATGAGGCCTCGGCAGTTGAACTTTTGTATTCACTGTTCGGCATCAAACGTGTTTGTTTGTGTTGTGTGGGTGTGTGCGTTCGCGTATGTGCATTCGTGCGCGTGTGTTACACCTTTTGTGTTGATCCAGCAGATCCTTGTCAGAGATTAAAATCTTCAGTTCTTTCAGCTCTTGGAGGAATTCTTTGTCAAGATCCACATCCATGTCTTCCACCATGTTATCTAGAATGAGAGAATTTGTATCATTTATAATTTATTAACGAATAAACTATTGAGAAAATATCCATTTCCCAATCCGCTTCTCCTCACAAGGGTCGCGGGCGTGCTGGGGCCTATCCCAGCTGTCTTCAGGCACCCTGAACTGGTTGCCAGCCAATTGCAGGACACACTTAGACAAACAACCATCCGCGCTCACAATCACAGCGAGGGACAATTTAGAGCAGGTGTCAAAGTCAAGGCCCGGGGGCCAGATCTGGCCTGCTACATCATTTTATGTGGCCCGCGAGAGCAAATCAAACATGGCAACTTCCATGATGCTTGGTAAAATATGTACCAACATTTCAAATTCTCATATGTAATAAATAAGAGAGACATTGTAAGCAATTTCTTGTTGCCAAACACCTCATTAGAGTGACAAACAATAGTTG